ATTAGGCTGTTATCCTCCCAGTGTCAGGTCCTGTCAGCATGTACCCTAACTGAAGAGTGTGCTCTGCAAGGAATTAGCTTGAGGCTGATTGAAAATACAGTGATCCAAGCTCAACAAAAATGTTTTTCAGAATGTCTTAGTGCTAGTCCATGGTTATCTGATGAAAACAAATCCCAGTCTGGCACAGGAACTCAGTGCAGCAGTTGTAGCACAAGTCACATGGGTCTCCATGATGGCACCTACTCCTCCAGTGGAAGCTATGTCCCCACCTGTGACTCACCTTGTGCACCTCCCTCACCACCCCAGTGTGGTGCTGGGTGTCCCCATACAGGGCAATGAGTGTGTGTCTCTGTCTCTCCCTCTCCCTCTCTCCCTCTCCCTCTCTCTCTTTCCCCCTCTTCCTCTCTCCCTCTCTCCCTCTCCCTCCCTCTTTCTCTCCCTCTCTCCTCTCCCCCCCACCCCCAGCTCCTCCTGAGAGTGTCTTACTGCTCTGGGCTGTCTCTCAACCCCTGCATGTGTTTAAGTAACTTTACCTGTTGAGAGACTATGTTTGTTTTATCCTGAAAAAAGTAAGGCAGGCCTTATCTGAGTTTTAGTTTTTGAACTGAGCTCTAATTTCTGCACCTTTAAGATTGAGACCGTTAATGTCTAATTCATAAGACTGTTGTGAGCATTAAATGAGCCCATGACACTAAGTAGGTTCTTAGTAAATGTTCCTTTTATTTTTTTTTTTTCTTTCCGGTACTGGGAATCAAACTCAGGACCTTGCACCTGCAAGGTAGGCACAGCACCATTGAGCTAAATCCCCAGCCTTCATTTTTTTTTTTTTTTTTTGGTACCGGGGATTGAACTTGGGACCTTGCGCTTGTGCAGCAGGTGCCAGAACCACTGAGCTAAATCCCCAGCCCCTTTTCATTTATTTTTCTTAAGGCAGCCACTAGAAGAATCGATTCAAAAAGTAAAATTTCCAAAAGGAAAAGAAAAAATAATAAAACCTAAAGGACAAAAAAATGAAACAAATGACATAATAAGCCATAGAAATGAAAAAAAGTAAGTTAAATGAATTTCCAGATAAAAAGCAACAGATGTCTCCTGGATATTTTTTTAAATCTGGCCTTATCCTGTTTATAAGAAATAGTTAAAGAATAAGGACACAGAAAAGCTAAAAGAATAAAAATGATGTATCAGACAAAATATAAACCAAAAGAAATTTGATGTAATTATATAAATCTTAGAAAAAAGGATTTCAAGGTAAAAATATGTACCACAAAAGTTAGATTAGTGGGCCGGGGATTTAGCTCAGTGGTTCCGCCACCTGCCTTGCAAGCGCAGGGTCCCGAGTTCGATCCCTGGTACCAAAAAAAAAAAAAAAAAAGCTAGAATAGTAAATGTTATGTGATATATGTTTTATTTGAAATTTCTAATTGCCTCTTTTTTTCTTTTTTGGAGACAGGGTTTTGCCATATAGTCCAGGTTGGCCTTGGCCTCTCACTCATGCTCTTCCTGCCTCGGCCTCCTGAGTGCTGATATTACAGGTTTACACCACCACATCTGGCTTCTAATTTCATTTTTGAGGCTATAATAACCTTGGTATCAAAAACTTACAAAGTCAGCAAGAAAAGGAACATTACAAGCCATTTTCACTCAAATGAAATATGAACAAAACAGTAGGAAACTGAACCAACAATGTTCAGAAAAGGAATACATAATGACCACACATGTTTTACTTGAGCAGCTAAGGATATATCATCATAACTTGCCATAGATTTGTAGGTTAATGGATTAAGTATAGATGATAATATCAAAAGATTTACGTGAAATAATTTATAAAACCCAACATCTATTGATAATTTAAAACATACACTCTTAATAGTCTAGAAGAAACTTCCTTAACCTAATATGGGGGTAATAAGTATTTCTAATAACCAGTAGTATCCATTATATTTATTGATGAGATGTCAAAACAGTGTGTTCTAAGGTCAGAAACAAACAAGGAGGCTTGTTATTGAATAAAGATTCAGCGTTCTATTGGGACTCTTTAGCAGCACAATAAAGTCAGAAAAGAAAGGTTTTTGAATTGAAGGAAACAAAATTATTAATGTTAAAAATTTCTGGGTAAATCAGGATTAAAAGGGATCAGGGGCAACAAAACTAAAAGCAATCAAATTGAACTACATCAAAATTTAAAACTTGTGCTGGGAATTTAGCTGTCCTGAGTTGGATCCCTGATACCAGAAAAAAAAAAAAATTTTAAACTTGTGTGCATTAAATACACAGCAGAGTGAGGAGTCTCCATGAAATGGGAGAGGATACATCTGAATCAGCTATCTTAAAAGGAGTTAATATCCAGAATATATTTTTTAAAACTACAGTTTAACAACAACAAAACCCCACATTCAACTCAACTGAGAAGTGAACAAGGGACTGGAAAAGAGATTTCTCCAAAGGCGAGGACCAACAGGGATATGAAAAGATGCTCAGCATCACTCACCCCTAGGAAAATGGAAATCAAAACCATAGTGAGCTATACTTCATACCCATTACAGTTGCTACTACTGTATTTAAAAGAAAATAACAAACTTTATTGAGGATATGGAGACATTGGAACCCTTGTAAACTGTTAGTAGATTGTAACATGGTGCAGCCTTTGTGGAGATTCCTAAAAACCTTAAAAATAGAACTACCATATGATCCAGCAGTTCTGTTTCTGGGTAAATACTCAAAAGAATTGAAAACAGGGTCTCAGAGAAGTATTCGTACACTCATGTTCGTAGCAGCACTATTTATTCACAGTAGCTAGACCTGGAAGCAAACCAGGCATCTATCATCAGTGGTTATCAGGGCCCAGGGGAGGGGACAAAGAGCTGTTGTTTAATGGTTACACTGTATAAATTCAGTTCTGGAATTGGTTGCACATCAGTGTGAATATGCTTAACATTGCTAAACTGTACATTTAAAAACAAGTGAGATGATAAATTTTGGATTAGTTTATTTTGCCACAATTAAAAAAAATGCCAGTACTGGTGGTGTGTATCTGTAATCCCATCACTGTAGGGACAGGAGGATTGATAGGTAGGGCTTAGCCTAGGTAATTTAGCAACTTGGTGAGAACTTGTCTCAAAAATTCAAAAAGAGATAGCGTGTAGGTCAGTTTGAAGGGCCTGAGTTAAGTCCCCAGTATGGTAATCAATGAATGAATCAATCAGCAGGGTTGCTGGCTACAAGACTATAAAATAGGAATATCACAGATGCATAGATTTTTCAAAGAATTTAAATTCTTTTAAATTTAAAATCTAAAACTTCACAGAAAGATGTTAAAGAATGTTCAGACACATGGGGAAATAAACACATTAATGGAAAAGGATGTTCACAAGATGTCAGTTTGCTGCAAAATTATCTACCAATTCTATTGGTTTTCATTGAAATCCCAGCAGAGTTGCTGTTGTTGGTGGTGTGTGAGTGTATGTGCATGTGCGTGCGTGTGTGTGTGTTTGGTGTTCTTTTTTGTGGTAAATGATAAACTGATTCTAAAATCTAGGTGAAAGTGCCAAAAAGCATCAATAATGAAAGCACCTTAAAGAAGAATGTAAATTTGAGCACTTGCACTACCTGAAAAGAAGCTGTAATACTAATTAAATCACTGTGGTATTGGTACAGGATAGAAATTGAATATCCTTCTAGTAGGAATGAATGATTTATTAAGTGAGACAATTGATTGTCCGTATAAGATAACATTAAAGATAACATACCTATCAAAAATCAGCACTAAGCAGATTCAGATTTAAATATGAAAGGTGTAGGCAGGGATTTAGCTCAGTGGTTCCACCGCCTGCCTCGCAAGTGCAAGGACTGGAGTTCAATCCCCAGTACCAAAAAAATAAATAAAATACGAAAGGTAAAAATTGTATAACATTAGAAGACAATGTGGAAGAATGTCTTCATAACCTGAAGGAGGGAAATATTTCGTTAGACACAAAAACCACAAGATATAAAGGAGAAGATTAGTGAATTTGGTAATGCTGGTGTGTAAAGACAGTAGCGCTATCATTCAGAAGCATAATAGACTCAGAAACAAGCCAAAAGGAAGAATTGTTTGTACAACATAACTCTCTTAGAGAAAGGCAATGTATGCAACACTATGACAAAGATGGAAATAGGCCTTTCACAGGAGAAACGCAATGGCCAATGAACATAGGAAGACTCAGTATTTTTAGTTATCATAGAATCATAAAACCACAATACCATGGCAAGTGTTTAAAATGTCTGGCAGTAGCAAGGGTTGGCCAGAATGTGGTATTTCAGGAACTCTCTCACACAGCTGGTGGGACTGGAATTAGTGTAATCACTTTGGAAAACAGGTTGGCAGTACTTAGTAAATTTGAATGCATATAACTATATGAACCAGTAATTTCAGTCCTGACACATGGCCACCAAGAGACATGGAATAGAATGTGTATGGTGTTTGGCAACATTATGAATGACAGAAAAAATGGAAACAATCCAGATGTTCAACAGTGGGACAGTTATCTAAATTATGAGTAATTAAGAATGAAATACCATCAAATGATGAAAATGGGTGAATTACAGTTACTGTATATGCATCTACATAGATGAATTACAATAATTTTGAGTGAAAAGAGCAAGTGGCAGAATAATATATGTGTAAATATGTAGATTTTAAGTTTATTTAGTATATTATGTATCCATAATTGCTAAAATAATAAAACCAAGGAAATGATTAATACAAAATCGAGGACAGTGATTACCAGGAGAGAAGAAGTTGTGGTAAGTGGGCTTATATTAGGATAAGGGCCCACAAAGAAGCTTCACAGTGACTGTCATGTTCTATTTCTTAGGCAGAATAGTGGATAGATGGATGCTATAATTTTTATGTGTTTTATGACTCTTAAAACTGTATGTGTAAAGCTGGTCTTTTGAATTTCTTTATCATTCTTTCGAAGACTTAATTTCTTATGTCCTTATTTTCCCCTTTGATACAGAAATCCCCTGCCAAGAAGCTGAGCCATGCAATTAGCAAGTCTTTAGGGTGCATGCCCTCCAGAGAACCTGCGCATCCTGTTTTTCCTGAGCAGCCAGAGAAACCACTTGACCTTGCACACATAGTGTAAGTATACATCTGGGTGTGGGCCTCACTGAAATGGGGAACTCACAAAATTCCAAGTATTACATAACATCAACAGTGAACTCTCTAGGTTTTTCTTGCCATTGGGAAACACAGACTTCAAGCTCTCATTTTTTTATTGCCCCATAAATATCCACATGGGAACCTCGCTCCAGTTCCTGACACTTGAATAATGTAGCAGTCCCCAGAAATGTGAATTCGTGGAATAGTGACTACTGTTGAACTGGACTGCCTTTCTTTGTGTGTTCTTCCCTTACATCAGATCATTTCTCCACAGCTCTAATGCTAGTTTTAAACTAGTTTACATGACATAGAAATGAAAATCAACTTAATTGTCCTTTTGAATTAAAAACTTAGGAGGATAAAATTATTCTACAAATAAAATTAGTGACACAGACACATGCACACAGATACTTGAATATTCATATCAAATAAAGAAAAGCTAGAAGGGATCAAAAAGTTAGAGAAAGGTAAGGATGAAAAAAACAATGAAAGATAGGATTCGGGTCTCTACACTGATTCTATACTCTGAATGATAATGATGATAACGAGTTTACTCTGCTGGATAAAGTTGGGAGATTGTTGCACATTAGTCTTACTCAGATGTATAGAAGTTTTTCTGTTGCATTGAACACTCATTTTCTTTTGCCTACCTAATGACAGACGGTGGTTAGACTAAATGAGCTACTGGTGATATTCGTCTTTCCTTTTTTTCTTTGAGAAATTTGAAAAACTTTTATAGTCATTAAAATAATACATGCATGTGGATTGAAAATTCAGTAAAAGAAAACTTATCATAAATGCAGCATACTCTCCCATGCTTTAACTTCCTTTGGGTTTTAGGTCTACTTGAAGTTGCCTCCATATTGCTAAGTCATATATGTATAGTGCTGTTTCCTAACTTAGCAGATATTATTTAATTCCATTGTGGGTGTAAGGAATCAGCTTCACTTATAACTACATACCAACTTGGGCCTGGGATTTAGCTCAGTGGTTTCACCGCCTACTGTGCAAGCGCAAGGACCCGAGTTCAATCCCCAGCACCAAAAAACAAACAAAAACAAATAACTACATACCAACTCATCCTAGTTTTTCATAATTATATTTCCAATTTAGTTGGCTAGCTTTGCAATTTTTTTTTTTTAGCTTTGCAATTTTAAGTAATCTTAAAACTCAACTTTTTCAACTTCTTCATAAACTGAGCAAATGAGTACCGTGTGATTTCTCCTTTTGCCTCCTGCGTTCTGTCATCTGTGCCATAACTTTCATATTTTCTTTTTTTTTTTCTTAAATTCTTTTATTGGTACATTGTAGGTATACAACACATTTACATTTCTCATTGGGAACTCGTACCTTTACATGATGCATCTTGGTTCTTATTTTTTCCCCATTCCTAGCCCTCCCTTCACGCCCTCCACCCTT